AGCACAGAGACTTAAGGAGGTGATAGAAACACAGACCAAGGAACGACTGAGGATGGATGCTGAAGCACAGAGACTTAAGGAGGTGATAGAAACACAGACCAAGGAACGACTGAGGATGGATGCTGAAGCACAGAGACTTAAGGAGGTGATAGAAACACAGACCAAGGAACGACTGAGGATGGAGGAGGAGCTAAGGGCAGTGCGACAGGCTAAAGAAGAACTTTTGAAATCCCAAAAAGTTATAGACGATGAGCTGTCCTCACAAATTACTGCCCTGGAGCTACAATTGCAAGCCAGTGAGCGCAACAATGTGGAGCACCGCAGCCTGGTGTCAGAACTGTCCTCTGAGAGTAAGAAACTGAAGCTGGAGGCTGAGAAAATGCAAGAGCAGGTCACAGAGGTACATGGAAGCTCGCCTCCCTAGTCCTCCTCCATTAGTCTTATCTTTCTAAATTCTCCACTGAATTATATAATAGCTTTAGCCTTTGCTTGCATGCACAACCCCTTAAATTCGCTGCTAGACGCCATTTGAGCACATACCTCTGTGTGTGTTTAAATATATTGCATGTAATTTACTTGCATGCAACCTAAACGTATCTCTCTGTGTCAATATTCATTCACCATTCTCCACATTGTACAAATATGCCTGCTTATGGTCTTTATTTCTGTTTTCTGAGTGATCAGTGCTTTCAGATCATCATTTTAGCCAGTTCTCTTCTTTGCCTCTGCTTCATTATTGTTGATCTCGTCATGTAATCCAATATTTTTTGCAAATCTGTAAAACAGCACTAATCAGACATATTGTTTGGCACACATCTGGTTTTGTGCTGTTTTGCAAATTTACAGAATAGTATTTCAATGAAAAAGCATTAACTAGTTCAGTTTAGTTTAGTCTTTATTTTACATATTATGCTATACTTTTTATATTGCTGTCTAAGAAAAACTGCTAAGAATTTTTTAAAACACACATAGGTTTGCCTTTTTTATTTAACTGCATTATTTTCTGCTTTAGACTTTATTTTAAATGATAAAACCGCTGTAGTAATAGTGCTATGTCTCAAAAAGAAATAGAATTTCCATATGTGCGAGTCCCTTTACATTAACATTGTTAAAAAAAGTAACAAATTAACACAGATATAAATGTTCTTAATATTATTATTAAGAAATAACTGCAAAACACAAGAAATAACAGTTCTATGTTAAGCGCACTGAAATGGGTCTCCAGTATCAAATCACGATGTTCGATCCGGCTAATTAGTCAGTATTGGAGCTTATATCAGATTCAGGTACCGGATCAGTGTATGTCTATACGGAAGACAGTGGGATGTTATAACTAGAGAAAGTTGGGTTGTTTTTGATGAGGGTAGCTGATGTGGGGTGGCAGTTGAAATTGGTTCAGTTTTGGAGCTGTATAGTTGCAGGAGGTTAGTTGAGGGGTGAAAAAACAAATTTTTACACTCAGCCATTCCAGTATCATTAACTCTTCGAAAGGGTTACACTAATCTGCCTCTCCAAACAGAACTGTCATTAGCACCGAGAGTCAAAATCTGATCACCTTATTGTAGTTTACAACTGGCTGACAAGTGTTTATTTTAGATTATTTCCGAACAATTTAAAATATAATGGATACTTGAGTTGACTGGGGGAGTCAGATGGCTCATGACAGATTTCATCAAATTTACTATATTTTCATATCCAAAACTTGCCATGTTGATTTGGCCTGCGTGCATGGAGTTTTACATATGTTCTATAGTCGAGTTGTGTTTTAATCTCTTCCATTCAGAGTGTAAGTATGGGCAATAATGGCAAGGATGCCGTGGACTATGAAAGAGGTACAGTGTAGAGGTCCTAGACTAAGTCTATCAACATCTACATAGTTGCAGCATTTTGGAAGATGATAAACTAGAATCTTTTGAAACCTATACCTAGAATGTAAAAAATTGAGAATGCAGGGTTTGTATTTTGTGTATACTCGAGTGGTGTCTTCTCTTAAATCATTAAGTCATACCGTAGACTCGACTCTTTTTGTAACCCACATGCACCTCTTGGGGGTCATTTTATTTTGTTTACCTCAATTTAGCTGTCTGTGCATGCCTTATGTTCTATCATTAGTGTTGTGTGTTGATCGATAACAATCCACTGCATTTCATAAATTTTATCTTTAAGTTTGGAATCCTTTATGAGCCTTTTATTTAGAGATTTAGCTTAGTAAGTAAAAATCCTCTGAAAAGGGTCAGGTACAGGAATAATACTTTGTAAAAGTAGATAAAGTAAAAAAAAAAAAATCAAAAACCCTAACCCTAGGAAAGCCTGGTTTCTTATAAGGAAAGCATATATCTAGTTTGTTTTTTCTGATTAAATTAAGCTGCTGGTTTGGACAAGTATGTGTGCTGTTCTTGATGAGCCGTGTTGATGACACATCTGCTAGACTGATTTTATAAACAAAATGGACAGAATGAATGTTTTAAAAAGGCTTTAACATTTCCGAATTAACTAATGCTTATTTGTTCTTTTCTTTTTGTCTGCAGAAAAAAGTAACAATACAGTCCCTCCAGTCCCAGTACAACGAGATCGTAAGTGAGAGAGATATTCTGTTGCAGAAATTGCAGAGGTTGGAATTGGACAGAGAGCAAATGCAAAGACAAGAGGAAGAGCTGAACCGCATAAAACTTTCTTTAGAGGCCGAGTTCCGCACCAAGCAACGCTTACAAGAGGAGAATGAGAGGGTGAAGAGAGATTTAAATTATTGGAAAGATCAATGTGATGGCAAACAAAGTTTGATTAGACAGTTTGATACAGATAAGGATGTTCTTGAGAGGGAAAAGAAATCACTAAAGAGTGAAATAGAGAGGTTGATGAAAGAACTCAGAGAACTTGAGGTTACATATAAGAGTAAACTATCGCTCCTCCAAAAACAACTGCAAGACACGACGGCTGTGAGACAGACCATGGAAACTGAGCTAAAACGCACTAGAGAACCTCCAACCCTTAATGCTCCCTCTGTGGTATTTGATGGAGTCCGCAAGCCAGTCACTGCAAAGCAATTGCTTGACTGCAGAGTTTTAGACAAACCAACATATAACCAGCTTTTGACAGGACATAAGACTGTTCCAGAAGTTTCTGCTGAGAAAAAAGTTCCATTAAAAGGCACTGGGCCAATAGCTGGGGTAATAATCGAAAGTCCAAAAAGTCCAGGGTCTAGCAATAAGCCTCTTTGTAAACTGACATTTACTGAAGCCAAGAAAGAAAACATCCTTCCACCAGATAGCATTGAATTGCTTCTTGATGCACAAGCTGCCACAGGGCACATCATTGACCCAAGAACCAATCAAAAGCTAACAGTGGAAGAAGCCTATAATCAAGGAGTTGTTGATGAAGAAGACAGAGAAAGGTTACTTGCAGCAGAAGCTGCTGCCGTAGGATACAGTGGACCTGGCACAAACAAACCACTGTCAGTGTTTCAGGCAATGAAAAAGGGTATCATTGACAAAACCACAGCTCTGCGTCTGCTACAAGCCCAGGAGTCTGTTGGTGGAATATTGGATCCTGTACTAAGTGTATTTCTACCTAGAGACACTGCCACAGAACGTGATCTTGTTGATGATAACACATGTTCTGCTCTAAATCAGAGGCCGGATCTCTATCTAGACCCAGAAACTGAGAAAGGTGTGACCTATATGGCAATGAAACGGAAATGTAAAATAGAGCCACATACAGGTCTTCTTCTTCTCCCTGTTCCTGAAAAAGTGGATCCCTCTAACCTTGTATTTGATGGTGTTCGAAAACCGGTCACTGCAAAGCATCTGCTTGATTGTCGTGTTCTTGACAAGCCAACATTTAAAGATCTAGAATATCGAAAGAGAACTGTACCTGAGGTGTCTGAAGACATAATCGTTAACTTAAAGGGAACTGGACCCATAGCTGGTGTTATAGTAAACGGTCGGCGTAAAATGTCTTTAACCGAGGCAAAAAAGCAAATGCTATTGACAGATGAATGTGCAGATTTGCTTCTAGAAGCTCAGGCTGCCACAGGTCACATAATTGACCCAAAGGCCAACAAAAAGTTGACTGTAGAAGAGGCTTGTGCAAAAGGGATAGTGGACATAAATGACCTAGATAGATTACTTGCTTCAGAAGCTGCAGCAACTGGCTATAGAGATCCTAGTGTATCGAAGCCAATCTCAGTGTTTGAGGCTATGAAGAAGGGACTTGTAGAAGATATAAATGGTTTACGACTGCTGCAGGCTCAAGAGTCAGTTGGAGGAATCCTAGACCCTGGTCTTAGTGTATTCCTACCGAGAGACACAGCTATTAAGCGCAGACTTATAGATAAAAATATGTGTCAGACTCTAGACCAGATACCTGAAGATTATATTGACCCAGAAACAGAGGAACCTATCAGCTATCAAGCACTGAAGAAAAGTTGTAAAATAGAGGCCCATACAGGTCTGTTACTTTTACCTGTCACTGAAAAGTTGGACCCTTCTAAACTGATCTTTGATGGTGTGAGAAAGCCTGTTTCAGCAAAGGACTTATTTGATTGTGGGGTCATTGACAAACCAACTTTAAGCAAACTAGTGAAGGGGGACAAAACTGTAGCTGAGGTTTCGGTAGATAAAAAGATCTTTCTAAAAGGAACAGGATCAATCGCTGGTATTACAACAGGATCCTTGGGAAAATTTACTTTTTCAGAGGCCAAGAAACAGATGCTTATTCCCTCAGAGAGTGCAGATTTGCTCCTGGAAGCACAGGCAGCCACAGGTCACATCATAGATCCAATTTCCAATCAGAAACTGACAGTAGAAGAGGCCTGTGCAAGAGGATTGGTGGACAGACAAGACCAAGATAAACTCTTAACAGCAGAAGCTGCTGCTGTTGGATATAAAGATCCTCATACAGGCAAACCTTTATCCATATTTGAGGCATTAAAAAAAGCAATAATTGACAAAAAGACCGGCCTACGTTTCCTTCAGGCCCAAGAATGTGCAGGGGGTGTTCTTGATCCAAACCTCAGTGTTTTCCTGCCTAAAGACACAGCCATGAAGCGAAACCTATTAGATGAAGATCTCAGCCGTGCCCTCAACCAGAATCCTGATTGTTACCTTGATCCAGACACAGAGCGGGATGTAAGCTATGGTGCTTTAAAGAAAAAATGCAAAACAGAGCCTCACACTGGTCTGATGCTTCTGCCACTTTCTGAGAGGAAGGATCCATCCAAACTGACATTTGATGGTGTCCGCAAGCCAGTCTCTGCTAAACAATTGTTGGAATGTAGTGTCCTCGACAAACCAACATTTAACAAGTTACTCAAAGGGGAGAAAACTGTCCCAGAAGTTTCTGCAGATAAAAAAGTATTTCTAAAAGGAACAGGATCCATTGCTGGTGTCACAGTGGGATCATTAGGAAAAATGACCATATCCGAGTCCAAGAAACAGATGCATATGCCCTCCGAGATTGCAGATTTGCTCCTGGAAGCACAGGCAGCCACAGGTCACATCATTGATCCAATATCCAATCAGAAACTGACAGTAGAAGAGGCCTGTGCAAGGGGATTGGTGGACAGACAAGACCGAGATAAACTCTTAGCAGCAGAAGCTGCTGCTGTTGGATATAAGGATCCTCGCACCAGACAACCTTTGTCAGTGTTTGATGCTCTAAAGAAAGGATTAATTGACAAAAAGACTGCAGTACGTTTCCTTCAGGCTCAGGAATCTGCAGGGGGTATTCTTGATCCAAACCTCAGTGTTTTCCTGCCTAAAGACACAGCCATGAAGCGAAACCTATTGGAT